ATACACTTTCAAACAAAACAAAAATTGTCCAAATCGGTTAATAAATGACGGAGTTCTGAGGTAACAAATTTAAAAAAAAAACATACAGCCGAATTGAGAACTTCCTCCTTTTTGAGGAAGTCAGTTGATAAAAATATCTCCATCAGAAATATTAAAAGTAGATAACCATACTATTAGTTTAAGCACACCCAAAACACAAAAATAAAATTAGAAATAACGAAGAAATTGGGTATTTTGTGGGTATAGAATTAAAATCCCCTCGAGAACATAACTTTCAGATTAATTATAACTCTGACACCACAAGTTAAACGTTGAGTGTAAATAACCAGGAGAACAACGAGGGGTTACTGTATCAATAGAAGATATAGTACTTGCCGAAGATACACATTCTAGATTTAATGTCTTTTGTCTATGTCAAGGTAGTGGTAGCATAATAGATTTGAAGATCTCGGAATTAGATACTACTTTAAAACAAGAGAATATTACAGTTTCCGACTCAAGTCAAACATTGTTATGCAATTTAGGTAGGATTTCAGAAGATAATGATTCTTGTTCTATCTTGAACCCCGTGGTCCATAACATCTCATCACTAATTCTGCCCTCTGCAAATGAACTACGAAATAGCACAATAAGCTATTTACAAAATATTGAGACTTATAATAATATTATTATTATGCCATTATTTGTCAGACGCACTTGCAATGAATGACATAGTTAGTGGCGAGAAATATAAAGTGATAGAGACTGATCAATCTGACTTTGTCGATATAAAAATACTTATTGAAGGCCGAAATTGGACGCATGACTCTGAGGGAAATAAAATATTGTGGTCCAATATTATGGAAGTTGTTGGGTACTCATGAGGGTATGCTGAACTTAAAATACAGTTTTGAAGATGATTATATTATGGAGTTCCACACGCGTACGGAGTTACACATACAGGGAGCTACAATGGACCACAATTGGTCGACGTAGTTATGGCCGACCTCGGCACCACTTCCAATAAAATGTAATAAATAATAATACACACTCGTGATCTACCAGCCAGATTTCCTACTCGAGACGCCCGGGTACGGTGGACGCACACGAAGTGGACGTTCACGAGGTGCACAAATACTCCGTGATGCTGCTACTCCTACTGCTGAAATTCCAATCGAATCCAAGCTGCAAAGGGCTTACAATGAACCATTTCCTGTGTCTCAGACTTATTAAGTCATTGTAAAAATTATGACACACCACGCCACTACCATGTTTTTTATGAGGTTTTGGCATGCGAAACTGTTGAGGATGAAGTACTCGTAGCAGAACATTATTCCCAAGAAGACACACCATTTCTTTATGGATAATTTTGTTATTTCTTTTTGATACCTACCAAGATTGTAATACTTTAATACATTTTAGATCGTAGAAATGTAAATAACCTGAAGACTATGTTATTGTTCTGGTAAATAGGTATATTGGTATTTTTTCTTATGACTTAATTATGCTGTGTCCAAAACTTTAATTAAAAATAATAAATACATAATAATAAATAATTACGTTATATTCTAGATTGATTGTAGTCATTCCAAAACAACCATATTCATATAATGTACACAGCATTCACAAGTACATTTTTCAAGTCGATAATTAAATTCATGTAACATCACTGCAAAACGCTATTACTGTATTCGCCATACATCCTCCAGATCAGCGTACAACGTTGCAATAGACTATTGCTGTCTGATTGATTTTGCACTTTTTACCGGAATAAAACCACAATGGATTCTTACGGAAACGACATTCAATGTATGAAGCGGCAATATGATTTTTTAGTTGTTTTAAGGTATTTCCTTAGAATTATAAGCTTATGTACATTATATATCCCTCCAGAAAAAAATAACGCATCTTTTGATATATAAACCGTTTTGATGAGCCTCGTAGTTTAGTAATTATTCATGATTTTCACTAAATCTTTTTTCCTGTAAAATTGTATTTTGTCGATTGCGGCTTTGTTCCAATAACCCATCGATTTATGTACCCATTGGTATATGCATAAAAATGTATACAGCTACTAAAAAAGCTTAAAATATTATTTTCGCATTTAAAAAATACTTTTCTAATACATATAATTGCAAATATAAACATTAATAAATAGACCTATCGAAATTAGGTTAGTAACTACGAGGGAACGTAGGATCGGACGTACAAACATACATACCTACAGGTAAAACACTTTTTTTTTTCTTTTTTTTTTAACGTTGGGAAATGCATTTACGCATGAGGTGTGGGACTCACCGGCAAAACCAGTACTGCCCACTAAAACCCAATAAAACCTTCCCCCGTCTTAATGGGGCGTCGCAGGATCGCTTACGCATTCAACTACGTCGCCCCGACGGCAGACCTACAGGTAAAACACTAACCTAACCCCCTTTTACAGTGCAACTATTGTATAATTAATTTACCATTAATTATAAATTTTATAAGAATATATGAATGAGGTGACAAAAATAAAAGTAAGATATCGGGAAATGAAAAAATAATATTTAATTTAAATAATGGAAGGAAAAAATAGTGTAAATTTAATTAAAATATTTTATGATTTTTAAACGAAATTTATATTTGACATAACGGCACAAATTAAAGCAAGCTATGATGAAGTTTATTTATATCAAAATATTTATATTATGTGCTATTTTATTGTGACCTATTATTTTAAAAAATACCTAAACCTTCTAGCGTTCCTTGACGTCGTTAAAGTGGAGAAATTGACTAACAAATTAAATACTGAGTGATAACAAACGGAACTCTGAGAAAGATATATTTTAAGTTGGATATTTAAGTTAATAAAATAATATATGAGTTATTCCTGTGTTTTTTTAACATGACTAAACTAAATATTGATAAATACATATTGTATGTATTAGTAAAGTAGAAGTCGAACTAACGCTCCGAGGGCTCTGTACTTTTTTTTTATAGTTGGAAAATCCTATTACGGATACCACCCGACTTCCCCCGGGCGACTCTCGCTACGGAACACACGAGTGTTCGATTACTTGTATATTTTTTTTATATTTAAGATCTTTTATACATATTAGTTTTAATTTATATATTAAATATATTATTTTTTAAAACTATTTACAATATTTATAATTATATTTTAGTCATCGCTAAAACTTACAGTATATCCACTATTCACCCAGCTATACATTTGGGTTGTTTAAGTGACGAAAAATGATATGTATGAACTGCAAAAATAACTTTGTAATCCCATATATCGCATATCTATTTGTATAGGAATACAAAGTTACTTATGCAGTTTGTATATCTCGAAAACAGGATTGAAATTGCATGATGTTTGAGTTTTTCCTTGCGTTATAGGCTAAACACTAATTGTGTTCAAAATTTGAAGCTCCTATGTCTGCTAGAAGTACCTTAGAATTTTGATGATCGGTGAGTGAGTGAGTGTGTGAGTGACGATATTAACGAATTTTGATCTGCAACAGTTCTTAAACTACAGGTTCAAATTGAATGTAATTAGGAAATATGCCTAGTTTTATTATGTTCTTTTAGTCACTGAAAATTCAGCCTTCTAGCTTTATCCACAACGAAGTTATGGGGGGGTGGAAAATGCTCTGAATCGCTTCGAGAAAAGGATAGTACTGTCGTGCCCTTTTTTGCTCGACTTGGCGGGGGCACTCCGTGCCCCCCGATTTTTTCGATCATTTTTGTGGGTTTCCTGCTCAGGAGTAAGGTAAATTAATATTACTTTTCACTCAAAAACTCGTATAATATTGATTTTTTCTTGTAAGCAATGACTTTTATCATAGTTTAATAAAAATGAAGTCGTGTTAACAATACATTAAAAATAATCATTAATCTTCAGTGTATTCACGACTATATACATCGTACAATATTCGCTAGAATCACGTGACTACATATCGCTTTTTTATAAAAGCGATATGTAGTCACGTGATTCTTTAAATATAAATATATATATATATATATATATATATATATATATATATATATGTTGTTCGTTAGTCTCGCTAAAACTCAAAAACGACTGAACCGATTTGAATAATTCTTTTAGGGGTAGGTTGGGCTTCCCTATTTCCTTATACTCATATAAGAAAATAGGGAAAGCCCAAAGGAACAGCTGGAAAATTGAAAAATCAGAACTGTTTATTTTGTACCTATGTATATATAATATATAGTCCATCCCATACTAACCGTTAAAACGAGCTTAGGGATAATACCGTAGATTTTACTATGAAATGGGTTGCGATAATGCGGTAAAAACCAGGTAAAGACGGACACAGTAGACAAGTAAGTTAACGTGGTTATTAGTACATTTAATCAACATGAAGGGTCCAACATGTAGTTACCAACATGTGTGGTATTGTACCATACTTCTATGGCAGCGAAAAGGGGTCTATATCATACTGATAATCTGACCACCAGAAATATTCGCAAGAGAACACGTAACTACTCGCCAAAGTCTGATCGCGATCGGGTAGTTAATAAAGACTTACATTTTTGCCTCTTTGGTCTTCTAGCTAGCAACTGTACACTGCAGATTCGGATATGCAGGATTCGAGTTTTAGGTCGGGCGAAATATAATTATCGAATAATTGGGTCTCTCCCGTGACCATTTCTGTAAAGCATTCTAAACGTCGGGAACCAAAAATCTAAAAAAATCCAGGAAGAAATCCGAAAAGATAATTTTATTTAAAATATAGTTATCGAGCTCTTCTGAAAGAAAGTTTGCGATGCCTGGAGTTGAGAAGTTGGCAGTTTTATACCCCCATTTATAAATTATCGTCCAACTTGTTGATTGAGTTAGAGTAAGACTTTCAATCAGACGCATTGCACTATAATATCTCTTGTGTATATGATTAGCCTCAATCAGTTTGGCTGCCGTACTCGTTCAGTAATCACTCAGGAGTGTACTACTATCTTTCAAAGAAACAGGCGTACATACTCGTATTTATGCACTTTTATACATATTTTCATTTCAGATGGGACGAATCACATTAGCAATTCTCATAGTACTAGCAGCTGTGCCACTCTACTACTTATTTTTACGAAGTCCTCCACCGCTGCCTGCTGTAGATTTGGAAGAATGGTGGGGGCCTAAAAGTTTAAAATCAAAACAGGATATCAGTATAAAGCCTTTTAAAATTATTTTTGAAGATGTGGTAAGTGTCTTGTGTAAAGAAAAAAATGGTAGGAAAAAAAACTGAATAATATAAAAGTATCTTTCTTAACAGATGATAAAAGATCTTAGGGATAGATTGAGAGATCGTCATCCTCTGGCATCGCCTGTAGAAGGAATCGCTTTTGAGTATGGTTTCAATAGCAAACAGCTAGAGGGCTGGCTACGTTACTGGGCAGAAGATTATCCATTTAAGTAATTTTTTTTTAATTTAATACTAAATTCATATCAAAAACCACATTAGTCTTAGACGGACGTAATTATTAACACCCAACTCAAGAGCGTCTGGTAAAATTTGCTTTCCTCTGTTTGTTGGTACTCCTTTACAGGTTGTATTTTACAACCGATCTGGACGAAGTTTGGTATACAAATTTTACGACTTTATAAAAAACACTAATGTTGGGGATTTTTTATTTGGTCTCCCTCCAAAAAGGTGTAAAAAGAGGGCTACTCGATATCTCTGCCTTATGAGATCAGATTTCGATGGTCCTTTTCTTTATTTAAAAGGTAGTAACTTTAAGTTGGTCCATAATAATTTGGTGAAGATCTGATGATGATCTTCGGCGTGATAAGCAGGATAGCTTCCCAAAATGCAGCTTGTGCTCGCGAGGTCTACTAGTATTATAAATAGCAAAGTCTGTGAGTGAGTCATTGAGTGAGTGAGAAAATATGAAACTTCTTCAGGCTGCAACGGAGATTAAGATTTGAAGAAACTCAGTAAGATGATAGCTTATATCCTGTGTTATCAAATATCAGGAATAAAAACTAGTAAAATATAATTTTAACTTCCAACCGTCAGCGACACTGCCTTTATAATAGAAGTATTCGTATCTGATTTACACTGCATCCCCTAAATAGGCCTCCACTTAATATGAAGCATATATGTACTTAAACTTTGTATGTCCTCGAACTGGAGGCTTCAGCTCTACTTTAAGGAATATCTTGTTATTCCCACTCTTTTTAAAGGGCGATAGCAAATTACACAAGAGAAAAAATATAAAAACTACGAGATATGGCTTCTATAACATATCACATAAAAATACACTACAATGCTATCCATAATGATATTACAAATTACAATTACCTGTAAAGTGATTTAAAGCCTTTTTAGTTAAAAAAATATCTCTATTTACAGAGAACGCGAAGAACTACTCAACAAGTACCCTCAGTTTAAGACAAATATACAAGGGCTCGATATCCATTTCATACGAGTAACTCCACAGGTAAAAATTTCGTAATATGTCACGTATGTCAATATATGGGGGGTTCCAAATTCTTAACATCTGTACTTCTGCATCTTCGATGACTATGCTATAATAAGATGCTATAGAATGAGTCTGATAAGGAGTTCGGAAATTGTCCGAAGGATCCTTGTTATCCAAACCAATATTAAAAAAACTATTTTTTTTTTGTATTTAGTATTTGCTACTGAGACGTTCCTCTGTCAGGTTCCATCAGGTGTAGAAGTTGTGCCCTTGCTCCTCCTCCATGGATGGCCAGGATCTGTTCGAGAATTTTACGAGGCGATCCCTCTTCTCACTGCCGTCGACAAGAAACGTAATTTCGCTTTAGAGCTCATTATACCAAGCTTACCTGGATATGGATTTTCTAGCGTAAGTAATAACCATGGTCATGTTTTTTATATATCTTTTCATTAGTTGGAAATATACTCACATTTTTTATATTATATAACTACTAAGTCAGACCTTTATTCTTTTATCACCTAACTTTTAACTTTTACGACTTGATAATTTTAGTTAGTTTAAATTTTCCCATACCTTGTGCCAAAATATGATTGAAAAGAATGTTTATAGTAATAATTTTTTTTTTGTCATTAGGCTGCTGTCAAGCCCGGTCTAGGCGCAGACAAAGTGGCAGTAATTTGCAGAAACCTGATGCAACGTTTAGGATTCAAACAGTACTACATACAAGGAGGCGACTGGGGCGCAATTATTGCTAGCATCATGGCAACACTGTTCCCTGAAGTGAGAAACTTTTAATCTTCTTATTTTAAAGCTATATTTCTATAGATGTTCTATTCTAGCTTTACCACACAGACGAAATAAAGGGCGTAAAGTTTACAGCTTATGAATATATGTAGTCAACCTCGTAAATGGTGTACATAGATTTCAATTCAAATTAACCAAAAAAATATATTTTTAAATTGAAGTTGTATTATATTATATATTATATAAGCGAAATTAGCGAACATATTTTGCGTGGCATAATGCAAAAGAACCCGCATGAAAATTCGAAAACACGCGTTTTCCCAGACGTAAGACAATCTAGATCGATTTTGCGCCCCCGAAAACCCCCACATACCAAATTTCAGCGAAATCGTTAGAGCCGTTTTCGAGATCACCGGTATAAATCAATATACAAGAATTGCTCGTTTAAATTTTTAAATATATTTTAGACGTTTTTGTCTGTAAACGTTTATTTTAAAACAAATCCAATTTTAGCAAAGTTATGTATGTGTACAAACATAATATTATTTTCAGGAAATCCTAGGTCACCACAATAATATGCCAGCATTATTTAATCCATTAGTAACTCTCATGACGTTGGTGGGAGCCATCTACCCACCGTTAATCGTCAACGCAGAGGTACAAGACCGTTTGTACCCAATGTCCGAAGTATACAGCAATTTGATGCAAGAAACTGGCTATATGCATTTACAAGCTACAAAGCCCGATACAATTGGTATGTAATTCAAAAAATTTCCTTATAAACGTTCATCTTCTTCAAGAGCCTTTTAGAGTCGATTTTCTTAAGCTTTAATCTGAGCAAGTCTATAAGATGGGACAAATCAAAAAAAATAATATAGCGTAACATCATTAACCTTACTAAAATCACAGATCATAAAAATAATAGAACTAATATTATGTTACTGTGACCTTTGGTTTCTCGTTTTGTCCAAATATAAACAAGATCTTTGCTTAAGTACAATCTAAGCGACGCCTTTTATGAAATTTTTATATCTAGTATACTAAATAGATTATATTAGTATTACTTCAGGTATGAAGATTGGGTTTCTGAGTCTAAAATTAAATTAAAATTTTTAAATAAAACATCATGGTCACGGGAGAGACATGATTGCTGTAAAGCATTCGAAACGTCGGGAATCAAAAATCAAAAAAAAAACCGTGAAATAAGTAATCCGAAAAGACAGTTTTATTTAAAATATCAAATATTCGCGTAAATATAAGGAAGTATTAAATTAAAAATATCAATAAAACAGCCAATTAACTTTTTAAATATTTACTTTCCAGGTGTCGCCCTAGCAGACTCGCCCGCAGGTCTGGCTGCATACATCTTAGAGAAATTTTCGACTTGGACTAACAAACAGTATAGAAATAAAGCAGATGGAGGTCTAACGACCAGTTTCAGTAAAGACCAACTCCTTGACAATATTATGATCTACTGGAGCACTAACTCTATAACGACTTCATGTAGACTGTATGCGGAGACTTTTAATAAGAGAGTTATGGGATTGGGTCTTGATGAGTGAGTATTTTTGAAATTAAGTTATTTTATATTGTTGCGTTTTTAATGCAGGTACAGATCAGGTCTTGGGTTCGAGTCCCAGATTGATTGAAATAAGTTCAATCAAAAAAATCTGTAAAAGCTAGGAGTCAAAAAGTTGTGGTCAAAAAGCTATGTCTGGTCACACGTCTGCACTATAATATCTATAGTAGTATCCGATGGCTAAAACTATCAAATTGGCAGCTGTAGTAAAAAGCATCTGCCAGAAAGTTTATCTAGGTTTTTATTTTCTCGTAATATACATAGGACTTTTATATAGATAAACAAAATTGAAGTTTTTGTTCGTAATGTTAAAATAACAGCTTTTTACTAAATGCATATGAAATTATGTACGGTATTTATAAGAAATCCATTTTTTTATTTTGTTTGTCTGTCTGTCTGTTCCGGCTAATCTCCGAATCGGCTGGACTGATTTTGACGGCACTTTCACTGGCAGATATCGATGTTATAAGGAGTAACTTAGGGTACTTTTATTTTAGAAAAAGAATTACAGTTTCAATCAAAAAAATAAAATAACTAGAGACACACCCGAGCAAAGCAAGATTAAATCGTTAGTTAATCAATAAAACTTATTGATAAAGTTCTATAAGGCTAAATAATGTACATGAATTTATGGAAAATCTGATTTTATATTGACAATATATTTTTCTTACAGGATTCCCACTAAAGTTCCAACGAGCATAATTCAAGCAAAATATGAGTTAAGTTACACACCAGTTTGGGCGCTCAAATTTAAATATTTAAACTTAATCAATGAAACAATTTTGAGTTCCGGTGGCCATTTCCTTGCAATGGAACTACCTGAAATATTCGCTACGGATGTTTTACAAGCGATCAAAAGCTTCAGAGATTTTCATAAGAATAAAAAGACTGAATTGTAATTTTTGTTAATAAATATTTATTTTTTGCATTAAAAAAAATATGATTATAGATTTTTATTTCTGCTTCAAATGCATAAATTGCAGCGAATTTTCAGGTCTAGGATGTTGGAGATAAACTTCAAAATTTCCTTTTTTTTAATGACACGGATGGTTAATGGAATATAGGTAAATTAGTATGACCATTAAAATTAGTCTTGATTTAACAAAGATAAACAGCGAAATATAAGAACCAATAATAAAATGCGAAATAAGGCAACCTAGCTAATAGCTAGGTTAGCTAATAGCAAAGACAGCAATTGTATGAAACAAAAACTGAAAATGTTTTAATTATTAACAAATTGTTTATGCTAAATAGTATTTCAAGTTTAAGAATTATCTGTTAGTGTTGCATTCAATTATCGTCTCAAAATATAATAATCCCAGTACCAGAAATACAAACTGAGGATCGACAATCTATGTCGCTAATAGAAACCTAAAAAGTCTCGGAATTGCATATTCTGACCACGTGACATAACGCTTAGGTGAATAATATAGTGATAGGTATCAGGCATGAACGAAGTCTCTAATTCGTTCATGGTATCAGGATATCTTAAAACTTTAGAATGAGTATAGATTTTTCTTTAAAAAACACTAATTTTTAGCCGACAATTCTGCTCGCATGGTAAATACCTGTCTATACTTACATACTAGTCTATACATATAATAAAATTCTAACTAAGCCGAATCTGTACATTAAATATTTTTTGGAAAATCTTATTGAAATAGACATTATTATTGATACAGAGGCCGTATCTATAGTTTTTAAAATTTTTGTCTGTCTGTCTTTTACCGCATCACAGAAAAACCACTGGAGGGATTTTGATGAAATTTGGTATGGTGGTAGCTGGTTATCCGGGTCAACATTTAGGATACTTTTTACCGCGGGAAAATGTCTTATTTCTGAGAAAAAATACAAAAACTGCAATATAAGAGTATACTAATATGTAAAACCTAAGAATTTGTTTTTTTCTCATTTGAACGCGGGCGGAGCCGCGGGCAATGTTGATTTTACTCAAGTTTAGTTGTTAAATAGAGATCTAAAAAAATCTGAAAATGGCATATTCTAACCACGTGACACGTGACATGACGCTTAGATATGACGTTTCCATACCTTATAATATCTTTCTAATAACGATAGCAATTGTAAAATTTACATATGGTCCATGCCCACAGACCCCTTTGAAGAATAAAGCCCCATTCTTAGTTCTTTAACTAGGGTAGTTCTAATTTTTATTAATAAAGCATTTCCTATAACACTTTTATAAAATAACAATTTGAACAAATATTGCACTAGTGATGTTCAAAGCCGAAGCGCGTGTCAGAAGTGTGCGAGGGGAAGATTATTTGAACCCTATAAAGATATTTTCAAATTAGGGTGAGATTAGCACTTACAATAAACTAGATTTTAGCTACTGGCTTTACTTGACTTAACCATTTTAATATTATGAATACGAAACAACTTTCGTAATTTCTATACTTAGTTTCTTACTTTTTTAACTGCCTCGGTGGTGTAGTGGCTAGCATGTTCGGCGGCACACCCGGAGGTCCTGGGTTCGAGTCCCGGGTCGGACCAAGTTTAGATATTGAGTCTTTCTGTATATTAAACCTCAGTAACAGCCCGGAGTTGGGAAGTTGGCGGTGTTACACCCCAGTGCCTCGGAGAGCACGTAAAGCCGTCGGTCCTGCGCCTTAACTCTCACCGGTCGTGTCGAGCAGTCGTCTCACCGGAGTATGAGAGTGACAGGAATAGAGAGTGCACTTGTGTTTGCCCGTACACTTGAGCACTATAACATCTCCTGCACAGTAGGCTAATCTCAATGAGATTGGCCGCCGTAGCCGGAATCGGCTAGGAGAACATCACTTAGTTTCTATAGCTGCATGGCCATGCATGGTGGGTTTTCTCAATATGATGCAAGTTTTGCAAATGCCGCCCCTAAATAATTTTCATTAGGATTTCGTAGCTAAAAGGCAATAATGAAATCGTTATAATTTGTCCGTCCCTACTTCCATATGTCTATACGTATAGTATAGTAATATTACTCAGAGACTAGTGGAGCATTGCTGAAAGGTATGCAGGAAGGTATAGGTATCATGTGTAATTGCTAGAAAGTTTAGGCGGCCGCTTCTTTTTTTTTTTGCTAGGACATTTACACACATCACCATCTAGTTCCATGGTAAGCTACGAGGCTTGTGTTATGGATACCAGATAGTTGATACACTACATATATATAACTTTAAATACATACATATTATAAATATAAATACCCATGACTAGAGTACACACATTCGTGCTCATCGAGCAAATGAATGCTCCCAGTGGGACTCGAACCCGCGACCGCTGGCACAGCAAGTAGGGTCACTACAAACTGAGCCAAACATGTCGTCAAATATCGTCTTTGCATCATAGCATCGTACGGCCCTGTATAGCTTAACTAACTTTAAAAATATCAAGTTATCTTGAAACTTGGCGATATTAAAAAATTTAGTTTTTACCTACAATTCTATTTATATAGTATTAGTAAATCTCCATACTCACATAAGTTTTGCTCAAGTTGAGTTGTTTCTTCGTAAAGAAACGCCTTTTAACCACAGACTCATAATCATTCAATTTACATTGAAATTATTAAAGTAGTGCTTCTAATAATAAAAAAAATCATATAGATGTGACTAATGACTACGATGAAAACATCAAGGAAGTAGTTATAAGGTTTAATAATGAATTAATAAAAATAATTTCATTTAAAGTAAGTAACATGTTTATTTTATAATTTAATATAATAATGTATTTTCATTTAATTTTATTATTGGAAATATTCTTGTGTAGGTAATAATACATTTTAACAGAAAACATAAAAAAAACAACAGTATATGTAATACGTCTTGTAAAAGTATAATTATTAATAAAGAAAAATTAAAACCTTTATGAGCTAACATATTTTGAGAAGGGAGAAGAGAAGTTGATCTCAATATTAAATAAAAGAAAATAAATTCAAATTTTATAAACAACTAGCGACACATCCTCGCTTTGCTCGGGTTCGTCCCTAGGTTGCTTCCCCATACAAACTTTCATTCCCATTTTCACCCTGTTAAGGGATGATTTCCGGGATAAAAACCATCCTATGTCCTTCCCAGGGTCTCAAACTATCTTCTTACTAAATTTCATCTAAACCGGTTCAGTAATTTCGAAGCTTATTCGGTACAAACAAACAAACAGACAAACAAACAAACAAATAAATCTTTCTTCTTTATACATTAGCACAGATAATGAAAAAAATTAAAGAAATAGTAAAAGTATTGCATTGAAGATCATGAAAAGCCTCACTAAAAATAATATAATGATAAAAAATCACATGAAAATTCATAACAGAATATGGTCTCTCTTTTAATGTAACTAAAATAATACATCGAGCTTTGGCTGTAAGTATGATCTAGAATCTGGATCTTTCAAAGCTTTAAAAAGTACTCTTAAATCTAGGTATTCAAAACTAAAAGCATTCAAAAGCAAAGCCTTGCTTGATTATTTATCTTTAGCATCACATTTTTCTTTACAATCCTTATCATCCTTGGCTGGAGCTATCATCAAAAGATTGTTTCCATTTCTCTCTCCAGTCAAATTACGGAATGGCATTTGACGCCACCTTGGAAAATAATACTGATTACGTAAAACTTTCAAATGATCTTTACCGAAAACGAACTCTGCTTTAGTCCTTTGAAAGCTGCGTCTAAACACTTCCTCGTTTTCTTCATTACCAAACCTATTATATTCGATTTCATACGGTCTTTTGTCATCGTCGTAAGGTCTTTTCAATCTCAGTCTTCTAGATGTTGGACTTAAAGGCGATTCACATTTGATTGCGAGGCCAGAATTTTCCTTGTTAATCAGGCCGTGATTCTTTTGCCATTCAAGAACTTCACTTAGAAGACCAATATACCTAAGAAGCATAAAAATGTTTGAATATTTAATGGAAAAGCTTAGTTATAGGAAAATTTGATATACTACTAATATTTATCGATAGAAATACTATGAATAAATAGAGGTTTTCGAAAAATATTAATGGACAAAAATTACATGTAGTTCAAGCTTGAGCGAAGTTGCAGCGAGTCAGTAGTACAAATACATAAAATGCAAAAGTTAAAATATCTATCGCGCTATCAACATTCTGTTATTGGTACATGAAACCTTTATCGTACAGACATTTACCTGTATTTAATTAAAAAATAAAGCTTGCAGTGGTGATGAATAAAATCTTTCGGGTAAAAAGTATTTCGGGGACTTTCAATAAATTCTTATGTAATAATACCTTATAGCCATTCGTAGTATCTCGTTCTTGGACAACTTCTTGTCAGGGGGATGAGTCGGCACCAGTCGCCTGAGCTCAGCGAAGGCACCGCTAACATTCTGTTGCCTCCATCGCTCTCGACAATTTGTGAAGAGTTTTCGAGGTGGACGAAGAATGCAAGAGTTTAGTGGTTGCAGATCTTCAGTCAAATTCTGTTAACAAAGATGATTTTAAGAAGTTGTGAAGAAAGCTTAAGATGTCAGAAATTATTATTCAGATTGAAGAAAAGCTAATTAATTAGGATCTTGAAAATAAAATTGAACTAGATATCTGTGATTTTAAAATAGCTAAATAGATTTTGTTTTTTTTTATTTGAAAGTGATATAATCGGGACTATTCTTAGCTATGTTTGATGAAAATCAGTCCAAGTTGGCCACCGTCTAAAATGGCGGATTACATATTTTTTCACAACTCCCTCAATATGGGTATCAAATAAAAGGGCTTGACTAGTAGAAACTATACACTATGATAAATTTTAAATCCAAGATGGCCCCCACCATAAAATGGCGAATTACGTATCGGATTTTAATTTTAATATAATTCTTTTAAATAAATCGGCGAAAAAATCCCAAAAGATACTTTTATTTAACATGACAAATATTCGCGTAAATCTAAGAAAGTATTATATTTAGACAGCACATATTATGAGAGATATTATCGTAAATACCTGGATACTCCTCGAGGGCTGCCTGTCATCATCACTATCTGGCAGGCAGAGATCATCACTCAACATTTCACTATCGGGCTCTTCATCAGAACAAGAATCTTGGTCCGACGCCATCAAATTTGAATATACTGTGAAAAATGCCTTGACATTCAAATTATTGCGTAAAATTAAGTAATTTTTGAAGTAAAATAAAATTTTATATTTTTAGCTCCCAAAAGTTTATGAAATAAATAAACAATATTCAAGAAATATAAAAAATCCGAAGATATCATTATCATTCATAGATTCCGAGGTTTGTTTTTGTTTTCTCAGAGGCGAACCCGAGCGAAGTGAGGTTGAGTAGCTAGTATATAATATTAGTAACAATAAAATATCAATGTTGATGGAATTATAATAATTCAGTCTTTAGAACAAAACAAATATAACAGTACTATTATAAGGTATCACCGGATATCGCTATCAACGGATGCGCTATATTTAACAATATAACACTCATCGTTTACGGTGTTCTTTATAAAAATAATTAAAAATGTATAATTGACTTCTGAAGTATATAAGAGTTACTTTGAGTTTGAATTCTGTACATTTAATATTTTTTGGAAAATCTTATTGAAATAGTCATTATTATCGATATAGAAGCCGAATCTATAGTTTTTAGAATTTGCGTCTGTCTGTCTATCTGGGAACTCATCACGAGAAAACCACTAGATACATTTTGATGAAATTTGGTCAACATCTCTGAGAAATCTATACTAACCGTTAAAACGTATCTAGGCACGAACCCGGTCGGAGCGATGGTGAATCGGTAGTCTTATTATAATATTATGATGCTATGACATCTCATCTTAATTATTAGATTGATCATTAAATTTAATCATTTATTACATATCTTTAAAGGCATCCTGAATACTATGCCAACAAAATGTGTGAATCCCTTACTCAGATTTTTTATGTTAGGAAATATAAGATTTCTATGACTTAGGACTCCAAACGCAATGCCTTAATTTCTATAAAACCACTTTATTTTAAATTCTTGCAAATTAATTAAATAGACAATTACTTAAGAAAAATTGTTAAGATAATAATTGTAAAACTATAACTATGACTCATGGGAAATTGTCGTGAATGAGAAAGAATACTCACCAGAAACAAATAATTTCCCAGCAGAACCAAGTCACTATTTGGATATTCGTATAATTTCCATTATAAGAATATAGGTACTTAATCATTAATAAGAGTGGCAAACGTTTAGAGACCAAAATGCATAGCGTTGACATCAAGAACAGGGAATGTTCACACGTTTATTCAAGCCAAAAAAGCTGACCTATATTGCTGCGATTCATTGAATGATGATATGTAGATGAACAATTATCACGTCCATATTACTCTGATAACGGGTAGGGTTAGAATAGGGTTCACATCTCCTGGACTCCCCATGGAAGGGTCTGTAGGAGACTAGCACTTACGACAAAAGTAACACTGATCGCCGTACTTGGATATAGAAGCCCTGACTTAAATAGAACACATGGTAACTTCCATTCATTAACAAACATAAATGAATATGGTTGTAGGTGTATGGGTCAGGATAACAAGACTTTACTCATTTTAAATAAAACTATCTTTTCGGATTTTGTCGCGGATTTATTTGTATTTTTGTATCCCGACGTTGCAACATGGACATGGATGCTGTAAAGCATTCGAAACGTCGGGAAACAAAAATACAAATAAATCCGCGCCAAATCCGAAAAGATAGTTTTATTTAAAATGTCAAATATTCGCGTAAATCTAAGAAAGACTTTACTCATTGAAAGCCTAATTGGAAGACGACACAAAAATAGGTGGAGTAATTCTGTAACCAAATGTTGTGGAAGTACCTCTCAACGTTAGTTATTAGTAGATTATAATAAAAACATGGGATTCCAATTAGGTGACAGGTCCCGACGGTGCAGAACTGGACGATGTAGGTGTGGGAATACAATGCAGATGTGCGAATGCTGTGCAGAAGTATAATGAGATGAACCACTTCGTCAGATTACTGTACATAAGCCGGGAAATTGTTAGCTACATAGCGGAAACTGTCCAATAAAATTAGCATTGTCAACTAAAAAAAATTTACATTACAAATAGGTGCTACTTTCTTTATCAGAGTAAGGATTCCGCTGTTTTTCAAATGAATTTATTATTTATGCGTGTATCTTATTTTTTGGGACGTAGATATTTTATAGCAAACGCAATCATAATAGTTTGATGTGGAAAACAATAAATAGAATTTATTTGTCGTTCGAATGAATTCATTTATAAAATGATTTTAATATTGACTTAGTTATTTAATTTTTCATAACAAAAAACATTTATAGGAAAAAAATTTTTTAATTAAAATAACAAACCTATATTTCCTGTAATTTCGGTCACAGTTGGCATAAAACTACACTCTCGATTTATATCACTTCATTAAACAATATTATACAAATAATTTCTCAAATATATTTTTTCACATATAACTACAGGAGCTCCTCACTCTACGACGTTAAAAAAACAACTAAGGAAAATTCAATTATAATATTCAAATTTCGAAAGGGGGTTGTGCTGGATTACTCTGATTGGTCATTCTTTAGTGTACAATAGCCAATGACGTGATAGGGCGTATCCCACTTTGTGTGATATTTCCCCTGGGGTTCATCTACACTTCTGTTACTTCAACGATTTTCTCTGAAAATTTTAATTATTTACAGGTACCATTTTCAACATGAAAGTATGATATTTAATAATTATTTGTGTACAATAGTTCAAGTTAGTTTTTAATATCTGTATCTAACCATTTCATTTCAAACCTTTTTTACGTATGGTATTAAATAAATAATTTTCAATATATTAAAAAAAGTGTTTTATTAAATTATGATCTACGTATTAAGTAATAGTATATTCTGACTAGCCAAAGTGTTACTTTAGGGAACAAAAAAATGAATGTTATGATTATATTATAATATTTAATTTTTATGTAATATTATAAATATTTTATTATTATATTATATAATAATAATATTCAATTATTTATGTATGGATTAATTGAATTTTTTTATTGCCACTACTAAAAATAGCGAGTGAAATAATATAAAAAAATTAAACAGTGCGTGTGATTGTGTACACGCACAAGAAGTAAAACTTCTGTAGATTTTCGGTACTCTTTATGAAATTCAATTTATGTTTTAAATAATTAGAATCGTTAAGATACTAACAATAACGCATATTATCCCCCAAGTAAAGCGTGCGTGAAGAAGTTTTTAATTCAAAAACCAACAGCGAAATAATTGTAAAAGAAAAAAATTTCGATTTTCTTACTTGAAATGTTAATGAGAATTAAAAAAATTAACAATAATAGGTTATTTTAATGAAAAATATTGTTTTTTTTTTATTTCGACGGATATTTTTTTCTTTCAAGTATCTAGACACAGTATTATTTGCAATTTTTTTATTAATAATTAATAATATGAAAATAGTTTTACGATTAGCGGCTGGTTTCAAGGGATCGTTACCGCAGAGCGCAAGCCGCGGACGCCTATATTTAACATTAAATAAAAAGTATTAATAATAGAGGTCAAATTCTAGAAGTCAGCATTTTTTTTTTGAAAATTTCCTCCTCTTTAAGAATCTGGTTTTAAAATTTCTCTAGCACTAATTGTTTATAACTTTTGCAATTGTTTACGTGCGGGTTTTCGGTATTCATTTTTCTAGATTTTATAATGAATCCAACGAGGTATCGCATGTATTTTAATTCGCAGTAGCAATACTTGACACGAAATAATTAAAACGGACAAAGTGTTAAGGTATTAAATTCTAAAAATTGACTTTTAAAAACATATTCAATAAGCAACTTTATAATAATAATATTATAAAGAGGCAGAGTTTGTTTGTTTGTTTGTTTGCTTGTGTGTTTGTTTGTTTGTTTCTTTGTTTGTTTGTTTGTTTGTACGCGTTAATCTTAGGGATTACTGATCCGTTTTGAAAACTTCTTTTTGCATTATATAGCCCGTTTATTGAGGAAGGCTATAGATTATATATCATCATGCTACTACCCAAGGGCACGAACAGTAATATAATATTATACAGTATATCTATTCCATACTAACCCTTAAAACGTACCTACCTAGGGACGAACCCGAGTGAAGCGAGGTTTAGCCGCTAGCTTTTAACAAATTACAAATAAATAGATTATAGAGAATTTTAATATAACACTAGCATTGCCCGCGGCTCCGCCCGCGTTCAGATGACCAAAAACCTAATTCTTAGGTTTTACATATTAGTATACTCTTACAATGCAGTTTTTGTGTTTTTGTATTTTTTCTCAGAAATGAGATATTTTCCCGCGGTAAGAAGTAGCCTATATGTTGACCCGGATAAGCAGCTATCATCACACCAAATTTCATCAAAATCTGTCCAATGGTTTTCTTGTGATGCGGTAACAGACAGACAGACAGACAAAAATTCTAAAAACTATAGATTCGGACTCTGTATCGATAATAATGTCTATTTCAATTAGATTTCCCAAAAAATATTTAATGTACAGATTTGACTTAGAATTTTATTATATGTATAGATAAGTAAGTATATCTGCAATTTTAACAAATAATTAAGCGTATTGAGTATAAAAATAAAAAATTGCAAAAAGAATTGCACAATAACGAAACTCGCACACAATCAAACCACTCGTTTGTAGACAATATGGCTTCCTATCATACATTTCTTGGATGAAATCGTCAGCCAGAACAGGTTTTTGCCGACTCCACGAGGCAAACTCCCTTGTGATTGGATTATCCTTATCAATGCGTCGCGCGATGATAAAAAACTAAGACAATGTAGGAGTTTAGGGTACTTTAATATATAACAATTTTATTTAGACGACACGTTTGGCTCAGTTTGTAGTGACCCTACTTGCTGCGCCAGCGGTCGCGGGTTCGAGTCCCGCTGGGGGCATTCATTTGTGTGTTGAACACGAATGTTTGTACTCCAGTCATGGGTGTTTATATTTATAATATGTATGTATTTAAAGTTATATATGTATAATGTATCAACTATCTGGTATCCATAACACAAGCCTCGTAACTTAACATGGAACTAGATAGTGTTCTGTGTCTTAATGTCCCAACATCCCATTCGTTTCCCGTTCGTTTTTCTAGCAGTTCTTACAGGTTTCCACTTTTTTTATGCTTAAGCCCCCCCAAACACACCCCACCCAAACACACCCCCAAATAAAACAAAAAAAAGAATCATTCAAATCGGTCCAGCCATATTTTGAATCCTTATATATATACCTGTAAAGTTATAGATAAATACTAATTTTCGGCAGAACCTTAAAATTATTTCAAAATAACTTAGTCACCTGGAACTTGAATTTAGTTTATCATTTTGGATGACATAATTATACATTATTCTTTAGGATAAGATAGATACGTACGTAATATAGAGTAATAAAACAATGAAAATTCACTTTCTGTACTGATAATATTTATATTTATTATTACTTAAATTATCAATAAAACCTATTACTGAGTAAATAATTATTAGACATTTACAATATAATGACTAATAAATAGACCTATTAATAGCTTTGGCATACACTAAGAGATTAATATGTGTTATATACGAATATATATACTTATAACCATATTATTTTGCATCTTGATTACTATATATTATCGTTTCTAATATAAAAAAGGAAAAGATGGCTCAATCACTTTTCTAATTTGTTGCATGAGAATCCTTCTTGTATTCAGCCCTTTTCAACGTCCCACTGCTGGGCACGGGCCTTCCTTCAATACGAGGGGGATCAGGCCATAGTCCACCACGCTGGCCAAGTGCGGGTTGGCGGACTGCACATGTCTTACGAAAACTTGCTGAGTTTTCTGAGACATGCAGGTTTCCTCACGATGTTTTTCTTCGCTGTAAGGCAAGTGGTAATCATGTTAGACTCTGCGTCTACCTCGGTGGTGTAGTGGCTAGCATGTACGGCTGCAAACCCGGAGGTCCGGGGTTCGAGTCCCGGGTCGGGCCAAGTTTAGTTATTGAGTCTTCCTGTATAGTAAGTCTCAGTAACAGCCCGGAGTTGAGAAGTTGGCGGTGTTTCACCCCCGTGCCTCGGAGAGCACGGTCCTGCGCCTTAACTCTCACTGGTCGTGTCGAGTGGTCGTCCCACCAGAGTATGAGAGTGACAGGAATAGAGAGTGCACTTGTGTCTGCGCGTACACTTGTGCACTATAATATCTCCTGCGCAGTTGGCTAGTCTCTATGAGATTGGCCGCCGTGGCCGGAATCGGTCAGGAGAGCATCAATCATGTTAGAAATAATTCGCTCATGAAAATATCAGAGGTGCGAGACCCTAGATTTGAACTCGCTTTACTCGGTTTCCCAAGCGAGCGCGTTACCACTGGACTACCACTGCCTATATCATTATGTATACTAATATTATAAAGAGATCAAGTTTGTTAGTTTGTGAATTGTGAATTTGTGACCGCGTTGTAGAGGGTAATCTCGGGATCTACTGAATTGATTTAGAAGACATAGGATACTTTTTATCCCGGAAATCATCCCTTAAGGGGGTGAAAATGGGGATGAAATTTTGAATGGGGAATCAACCGAGCGAAGCGAGAGTGAGTCACTAGTCCATACTCCGTACTAATATTATAAATGTGAAAGTGTGTTTGTTTGTTTGTGTGTTTGTTTGTCTTTCTTTCACGTCGGAACGGAGTGACGGATTGGAGTGATTTTTGGTGTGAACATAGTTGGACGGTTGGAGAGTGATATAGGCTACTTTTTATCGCGGGAGATCATCTCATTCCCACGAGAAAAGACGTTACAATACAATCCAAAAAAATATTTCCGATCAGAATTACTTGAAACTAGGTATTACATATTAATGCTCTTCAATACAATTAAATAAATACATGTTTTAGCATTTTTCGAAATTAATCCTATAAGGAGGTAAAATAGTGGATGGAAGTTTATATGAAGAGTTTTTTTTTGTAGTTTTAGCGCGAGCAAAGCCGCGGGTTCTGCTAGTATTTCACAAAAATTTAAAAAATTAATAAAAATCGATTTAAAAAAAAAACGCTCTAAAAACTAATCACTTATTTTTTACTTTTTAGTGCGTTTTCTTTGAAGTCGGTTTTTAATTTAAAAAAAAAAATAATTTTCATTTTTAGTGTCGACATAGTAGTAATAAAGTAAAAAGAAAGTATTTTTTAAAAATTAATTGGTGAAAAATCAATCATCCGATATTTTCTACACTTAGGGGCGGTTTTTTTTTTCAAATTTAAATGCGACCTATTTTGGGGTAAGCCCTATCTAATAAAAAAATCATCGAAATCGAACTACACTGTAAAAAGTTACGCGTGGTGAAACAATGTGTCGAAATGAGAACCTCCTCT